TTGCCGGCCTTCGATGTCACGGCTGACGAGAGAGAGGAAAAAGAAAAGGATCCGCTCTCTCTTCCGCAATCGCTCGACGGATGACTGAGACGAAAGGAAGCGGAAGAGGGGGAAAGTAATCGGTCCCGGGGTTCCTCCGGCGACGAATCTCGCGAGTCGCCGACGGACGAAGCGGTCAATCGATACGCGCCACGCTTCGCAGTCTCGAGTTTCGCGATAGCCGCGGGATTACACGTCATAAAGGCAGCGGCAAGTACATAACGAAGTTACAACGCGCCGCGCGAAACTCGAAATTAGTTTCGGGTACTCGGCAACTACGTCGCCCGGGTTGTCGGAAAGTGTCCGATGCTGTGTCACTCACAATTCCACCGAAAACGCTGCAAGCAGCAACTCCGCCGCGGTAACTCGTTCGAAGATTCGTTAAAATCGCCGGGATAAACTATTACTGCGATATCCTCTGCAGCCAGCAGTGGTGATTCTTTTATGGCTGTCGTAGATGCCTTCGGCGGCTTCTTCGAGTCTGTCTATATTCGCGACACCTCGGTTTTCGGTGGTTTTCAGTTTAGTCATTATTGATGAACTGCAACTGGATATAACAATACAAATCTTGAAGTCCATAGGACACAAACGGTTTATCGCCCATCTTTCTCAAATTTTGCAAGTTCGTACTTTCCAGGATTCTCTGGATATTCTTTTCAACAGATCCGTTTTCGGTGGAACTTTGCTTACTAGCTGGAAGACATGCGTTATAAACCGCATCTTCAAGAATGCTAAATAAATCCAAAGGTATCTAATAATTCAAGACTAATAAGTAAATGAAACATTATACGAAAAATTTATTAACGTATGGTTACTTCCAAATATGACGTCTCGTCATTCCTCCGCCACGATTACCCACAGATTCAGAAAGATGTAGGGATTTTATCTCTGAATAACAGAAGGATCATCTCGGGACCTTTATTTCTTTAATGTTCCGATTGGATGCATTGACTGTCCTAATCTGCCGACACTTTTTGGCTCGAACATTCCAAGTACAATAGATGCTTGAGAAAGTTTCCGCTCTTTTCATTATCTCGACACTATACTCTATATAAAACTTTTAAATCCATTAATCGCTTATGTATGTTGACGAGAGATCGGACAGCATGGATTCTTTCAATGTCTCTCATAGTTCTTTGAAACTCGAATTAACTAGAGCACTTCTTTTCTTAACATTACGTTCATTGCATTACGTTCATTCTCTTTTCATCGCGGATACGTTGTGCCGATGTAAAAATTATGCATTACTTTTCTAAACTAAAGGGAAAACTTATTCTGTTTACGTGTTAATAATAATAATTTGTCGTCTTATCGTGTTTATCGCATACACTTTGTGCAACATGTAAAAGAATGTCTGCATATTTGGCGATCCGCGACAAACGACGAACAGTCGAAGATCATTAACTGACTTTAATACCTGCTGGAGATAACAAAGATCGCTATTATACTCGCACCACGATTACAGTATCGCGCGCACGATGGAACAGAATAAACGAAATAATACGATCGCGTAAATGTTATCTCGTTAAATCGACGCGATCCCTAAGCCGTTTTACTCGTATCTCGTAATAGCGACGCTGCAATTGCAGCTGCTGCACTTGTACGTTGTAATTTAATCCAGTCGGAAGACACAAGCGACGTTTAATCGCATTCTGCCAGCTGCCCGCGCACTGCTCCGAAAAATAATCACCCGTTGTTTTCTCTCTTAGTATTATTATACTTGTTTCCCGACACGTAGGAAGTTTTCGTCACGCCTTCGTTACTGCCCGAGTCAACATTTCAGCTCTGCATTAAATATCTTTAATTCTACGTTAAGTTTTCAAAGGTCTTCTATTGTGCTCCCTTTGATGCTACAAGTGAGAAGTTATTTCCGTTTTCTCCACTTGAAAATATAACGAAGAATTTTAAAAGTTCCGTTATTTCCGTTACACTTATTTCCGTTTCCTCCATTTAAAAATTTAATATAGAATTACGTAGATTTAATGTAAGATCAGAATTTCGATTCGGATGCTTGAATTGTAAACCGAGTTAAGACGTTCGGAGAGATTTGAGAAAAAAGGAACGCGCGCGCGTTCGAAAGTTGAGTGTACGTTTAAATCGGGGATATCGGAGAGTCTCTTTTAATCTGGAGCACAACTCTTGGGAATGACGAACTTCGTAAAATCAATTTACAGATAAATACAAATCATCGCGCCGATAACAGTGCGAATGGCTTTGTTTTGCTTTTTCGAAGACACTTAAATTTTTTTATACTCAGAGCTATCGTCAGCATGTTGGCACGTAGTTGCTTGCGAATTCTCGCACTCTTTTATTCCAATGAATTCCTTTCCAGCCTGGATCGATCTCGATAATGCAGCGCGACGGGTAGTCTGACAGCTGTCTCCTCTCTCGTGCAAAATCGATGCGCGTCTCGCGAGCAATTAAACGCGTCGCGGCCGACGTTCGTGCGAAATTTCACGCTCAAGTCGCGTTTCCTTTGATCAACAAGCTCGAGCGGCATCCACGAGAGGTATCCTGTCGAGTTTAAATTCGCGAGTGTCTATGTTCGGCATCAAGGACGGCTCGAGTGGCCCCGGTTACGCGGAGTGCACTTCACTCGCCGCCGACCATTCGCGCCCCGGGCCGCGCCAAAAACTTTTCCACACCGCTGCACCTGGACGGCGAGGGATCAAGTATTCCACGAGATCGGACCGTCGGCACTCGAATCGATTCTCTCACCTAAATTCGAAAATATTCCGCTCGGAATTCGCTCGATGCGTAATGCAGGAAATGCGCTCGTCGTGAATAAAAAACGCTCGCGCGCTCCCTCGGAGAAAGCGGGGAACTCGCCTATGAAACTTTATTCATATCATGTAAGATGGAATCTTTGGAATCAGGCAAATGCTCCTCCTTATATCCTCTCTTTCTCGTGAAAAAGTCGACAACGAGTAATCATTTGTAGTCGAAGGCTGGCGGGAAACAACGATGAAATAGAACAGCCGGAAATAATTAAACGTTGAGACCGGAATCGCCGGTTCGTTCGTAACTATTTTTTATTATTTTCTCCTACCGCTGTCCGTCATGGTTGGAGAACACTCGCCCCGCGTATTTGCTCGAACTCCTGATTTGATTTTCAGATGCCGCCGAGTTTCGCCGACGGGGGGAAAACTGACTTTGGTGTCGATGGAAGAATTTCAAGGAAAAAGCGGATCTATCCGGGAACTACGGTGGTGAGGACGACGAGGAGGACGATGATATTCGACAGCATGGGTACTTTGAGCGGATATCGGCGAACGAGGCGTCAATACCCTCAGCCGACTACGTTCGCCTAATCGAGCGAAAAACGGTGACACATCCGGATGACGTATTACAGCCGAACGGAACCGGTTAAACGTTAACCACCCCTAATTTCGCGACGAGCGGCAACTTCGTCACGTTCATGTCACTCGACAAGTCCCGGGTGCGACGTGTAATCTTGACGCCATTGTACCGGGAGCTGATAGAACACGAGTCGCGGACAGGGTCGGTTTATCGGTGGGCAACATACCGAGTCGCAGACGGACGTGCGTGCGTGCGTGCGTGCGTGCGTACGCGCGCGCACGTAAATGCATCAGACGCGGCCGGCACAGCTGCGGATAGATGCATCTGACTAATCTCCGATGCGGAAGCCGGCCGGCTGGACAAGCGCGCAACAAAGTAACCGACGTAACTGCGTGACGGACGTGGACGGAAATGGAAGGAACGATATTTCGACGGGTTGCGAATCGATTCGGCGATCGAGCCCGGCGTCTTGACCGGCCGCGGAATGTTAATCAAATGCGCACTCCACGCGGAAGGGATTCCATTTTTCGCCATTTCCCGAGCGCTGACACTTTGGAAATTAAGGACGACGAGAGATACATGCCTCCTCGGCCGGCGGGAGAGAGAATCGAGCGGAATAAATCGCCGACGTTCTCGTACTCGACGAACGCTTTATTCCGCGCAACAATAGCGCGAGAAATCGTCGGACGGCAACGCGCCAGTACCGATAAATAACGACGAGCTGCGGAAAACAGGCCTTGGACCTCCCCTCGCCCTCCCCGCCGCCGTCAGGAGGAACTTTCGAGCGCGCCGGTGTTACGCGCGAGGCGATTCGGTCCGTCAGCGACCTGCGTCCCAATTAGATTCGGTCCCGGAATTCGCGCGACTTCGCCGCGGAATCCCGAGGGATCGCGAGATCGGAAAACGAGGGAGTGTACAACGCATTCTTCTAAATGATTCAGGCATAGCGAGGCTCCAGGAAGATATATTATCCCTTAGACAGTTTCCATAACGATGACTTATGCCGGAATTAGCTCATGACTAAAACGCGATCGACGACAAATAACCGAGGTGTTGGTGAATAATTGAGTTTCCTCGTAAACAAGACTTCTTTATCTTTCTGCCGCGATAAATATAGTTGACGTGGCGACGAGGAGAAGAAGGAGAAAGAACTGAGATATTATATACGCGCGTAATGTCTAAGAATATTTTTAAGTGAAATACATCGCGTTGTGAGATAATTTTGTCGCGCGGATACGCGCCATCTCTCGGGGCAGCCGTGGGAGATTGCGAAATAATTAGCGATTACCGTAAAGCACACTTTTAAACGCTCGGTAATTAGGTGGCCGTTATTGCAAGAATCGAGAACGATCGGCGCTATCGGCGGCGCGACGATCGTTACGGAACGGTTCGGATTACGAGTCTCCTCTCGTGAAATCCTGATAAAGTTGTATATCGCGTCCGTTCCGTCGTCGTAGGATCGAGTTTTACCGTCGCCGGAGCGACGTGAGATAGCGAGACGCTTTCGGAGAGATTTTAATCCGCTAAATGTCCTTGCCCTATAATGAACGTCGCTCGCGCCGATCGTGCGATTTTTTCCCCGAGCGTCGTCGGTGCCGCATCACTCGGGGATGCAAAAGAGGAGAAGGGAAGTAAACGTGTGAGGGAAGAAATTGACTCACCCAACAGCGCCTGGAAGAGCCTGCTCTTGAAGATACGTATGACGCGCTCGATGGCTAATCGCAGCTGTTTGTCTTGCGGCCTCGTCAGCTTAGCGTGGTAATCCTCGAGGAGCTCCAGAGCTCGGTGAGCCTCTAAACACAGACAGACACCAAGGTAAACAATAACAAATTGGGAAATCGCCGGATCGATTTCGCTCGGCGACACAAGATCTTATCGTCGCCGTGATGATTCGATCGTACCGACGCCGTGGCGATTCGATCACGTATTACCCGCTGTTTACCCGCACATATTTCGCCGGCGCTTCGTTATTAGCTATTGCCTTCATTATCGCTACATCAACGCTGATATTGCCGCTAATTGATTAACCATATTTGCGACCGGTTGCAAATCCGTCGCATGTTAAATGTAACCCGACACAATTCGTATCGCCGAAGGATCGTTTTCGCACGTTTCATTAATTAAACATCTCCCGGCGCGCAGTAATCAATAGACCGTGTATTATTGATGTTACACTTTCCATGCATCTGGCACCGGCTTTTAAATCAAGTTATGACCTGAAATTTCGATATGCAGTTCGGATGCTCGCGACGCGCGAACCGGCGATCCGAGAGCTTGAAAATAGGATCACTCACAAAGGACCAGGTTGCGTATGAATAAAAGCAGAAGAACGGCGAGAGAGAGAGAGAGAGAGAGCACGTGAGCGCGGGAGAGTTTAATCCGCGAGCGGGGAAAAGAGAGAAATTCCACTAACGCGGCAACACTTTGCGCCAATTATTCGAATCCCCGGAAATAAATAAAAGTGCTCGTCCACGCGAATATATCGAGGTATTACCTGCCGGTTTTAACTATCGCTGAAGAGTACGCGAGTGACGTACATAATAGCATCAATGAAAAAAAAAACAAAGGAAAAGAGAGGAAGAGAGAGAGGAAAGAGTTTATTATTATATACGATTCTTGACTCTACGTGGTGTTTAAACTGTGTTCGTCGGTGCAATCTCCCGGATAGAAATTCTTTCGCACTCGACGTTACTTATTTTTAGCGTATACGATATCGGAAAGGGGAAGGCACCCCGATATTGCGCTTTGTAAACGAAAATTTTTCAACTGCTCGCTATATATCTTTTCCACGCGAGCAGGGAGGGTGGTTCCGCATCCTCCAACCTATTCTCGCTGTTTCCTCTTCTCGCTAGCCATCATAAACACCACCCTCTCCTCGTCGGCGTAAGAGGGAACGTGAGCGTGAAGCCATTTGGAGGGTCGAAACGACTCCGAGAATCTCGTGCCCGGTGAGTGCAAGTCGAGAACAAATAACGGCAATTGCATCGGTTTCATGGCAACGCCGACGACGCAACAGCTTCTTCCGCTCAACCGCGATCTCTACTTTTTCCTTTCTATGATGCGGAAAGTGCTTTCATTGCGCGAAATACGATTATAAGGGCGTCGGCGTATTTACACAAAGCGACGACGTTCCGCTGCGCGCGGATCTTTCTCGATAAGTTACCGAGGTAACGATTATTATCAACGTAACTCGACAACATATACGTATAAAAACGAACCGATCCTCAAAATTGAAAAGGGAATTTATGTTTTCAGTTGCAAGCTTTGTCCCCTCCTCCTGGTTTCAGGAAGAAACAGTAAGTTTAGATAATAAGGAGATCAACAGTGGTTTTGATATCGGTTAAAACGATGAAAGAGAGATAAACGAGGCGAGAAATCAATATTGAATCCGCAACGCGAAGGAACCGGTTCAGATTTTCAAAGTCGATCTGATTCATAAAGAAATAAGACTGCGAGTTCATGACAGCAGTAAAAACGCGAATATTGTGACCGTTTGCGCAATTAGCATCGTCACGATGACCATTCGCGCACTTGTTGATCTGTCCCCAGAAACGTCGCTTCCGCAGGAGGAAATGGTTTCTTATCCATCGGGACCCTCTCACGCCCGTGGAAGCGTATATCCTGTTGGCCGAGATCGCAAATACGGACATAAACGTCCGATCGGATGATAATGCATCTTTGGATCCTGTCGATTTTCCGCCTCGTTTCTTTTACGATTTATGGCAAGCTCGTCTAGCTACTGTCGACGCTCGTTTTACATTAAAACCTATGTCATGGAAGCGATAAGGCCGATCTTACGAGACAGCGCAAATATTGAGTTGTTCTACTTCGCGCACGAGTCTTACCGAGATTTGCTATCCGCCGGGGAATTCCTGAAGGAGATCAATTCAAATCGTCTCTCTACTACTCTCTTACCGCGCGAATTTCAATTCCGAATTTATTAATTCGCGCAAATTTCTCTATTGCAAAATACAACGATGATCGTTCCTTCTAAGGGGAATTTCCTTTTTCTGATATAATTATAGATGAGGAAAATAGAAAATAAAAACTCTGCATAATACACACAGTTACGCTGTAAAATAACGAGGACGAACAGTAGAAAATAAGCAGGCATTTTCTTCGCGAAATTCCCGAAGCGTTTGCTTGGGATGCGTAGCGGCATCAATTCTCGCGCTACACTTCACAAAAATCATTTCCTCCGCAAATCACGGCCCTTTCGATAACGAACGAATGAAACCGACGAAAGACTCGGCCGTTCCGAATCCGCCACATAACACACCGTCCAGCGTGGTATTTCGCGTGAAAGGTGAAAAAATGAAAAACCGATTAATTACTAATTAACAATATTAATAATTAAAGACGCACATCGATGCAACATGGCTATTGAAACACCCTCTGTCCCGATGATAACGTCCCCTCTCATTCCTTCTTTACTCGTTCTATCTTCTTCTCTCTCTCTTTCTCTTAAGTTATGCCGCTGAAACACGGACGGCATTTGCTCACGATTGCACCGGAGAGCATCTGGCCGTCTATGCGTGCTTCCGTGCGCCGGGGCTTTCCGGAAAAGATTAGATGAAGAGCGAGAGCGAGAGAAAGAGAGAGAGAGTAAGGGGGATAGGGGAGGAGAGGGGGCTGGGAAGAGCGAAGTGGATGAAATTTCCCGGCCGTAATAACATGGCAATGGGCACGTCATCCGCCCTCACGAACGACAACGAAACTATGCCGAGTATGGCCGTTTATCCCGGCTTTACGCTTCATCCGGCTGCACGTCGTGCTTCATGAATTATAACGCCGTATCTCCTTTACGAGACGCTGCCGGTGTGCGCTCGCTCGATTTCCAGACGCGGGTCGAGTCGGGATCGTCATGGTCGTGGGCCGTGTTTATCAAGCCAAGTCCCCGCACAAGAGCCCGGGGGTTTTATTAAGAAAAGGATATATTCCCCTTTGGCATTTGTCGCCGGACCCATCACCGTCCGTCACGCTCTTCGATTCGAGTCGAGCGTGACGATGATGGTGCGGTGGCTCGAATTATTCTTCGTATATTGGATATTAAAAGTTACCCTCGCTCGTGCGAAAATAACGCGGTGGATTATTCGGCGCGTAGTTACCTTGACGAATAAACAGCGCGTCCTGACCGCGGATTCAATGTTAAGCACAACCGTTTGATTATTAATCCCTTGACATTTGAACATTGACGCTCACGCGAGGCATATGCGTCTGTTTCAGTTGATGCTCAGTCGGGAAAACAAAAGCATACATTACGTCGCGTACCTAAGACGCGCTAGGCGATTTTGGTTAGCAAACAGTACAATCTCTGGAGGACGTGAATCCAACGCAAGGGGTTATTTGTCTCGCACGGAGCTCACACGGATGCGAAGATGTTATTTTAGCTGAAGGATCAGACATTCGGCACTGAACAAACGCGAATCAAAATGTAAATCCCAGCTTACGGCGAAAAGAACCGACTTTCGTCAATTCAAACGATGAAATTATCGGTCCTTTTGAGTAATTTAATAAACAAACGCAGATTTTATTTAAATAATAAGCCAAATTAAATTTAGAGGCGTGCCAAACGTTCACTTTAAGCTTTGTTTCCAAGTCAGATTTAAAGCGAAGACGAAGAGCGCCGCAAACCGACGGTTTTCACGACGCACTATTATTTTCGTCTTTCATTAGTACGTAAGCCGCTGACACAGTTCGTACGAATAATTAAAGGGAACCCCGTCTTCGTCTAATTAAAGCACAGTAATTATCGAAGTGAATTACGAGCCACTACCCTCTATTACACATTACTCTCTTCTCCGGCTCCTTCTACCGCGACGACACCGTGCAAGTCGTCGAGGAAATGCCACTGATTATTTCATTCGCGGTACCTATTTAAAAACAGATGTTACAAGGGAACTTTGCAATTTACAAAAATGTCGGCTACGTCATATAATATCTCCAAAGTGAGAAAATATTTTTATATACATACACACGCACGCACGCACGCATGCATGACGCACGCGTTACTTTGACAGTTTTTAAGGGTGAAAAATTATGAAAGAACGAAGAAAGCGTATCCTCGCGCGAACTATGTCGAGGGTCTCTGTGTAGAATTTTTTAAATTAATGTTTGTTCAATGCGAAACGCCCTTATACCATCGGTTCTCTTCGCATGACAGTTTTTTCTGTCGACTTTCCCCCAACTGCTACTAATGAAACACCCGCAACTCGCACGATTCACATCGCACGGCCACGTACATACATCTATAATTTTATTGACACATGTAGCCCGAGGCACCTATACGGCAACGTCAACAACTTCTCGACGTAATTTCATATAGTACTAAATTCAGAATTCGTCATTCTGACGGGAAAAACGAACTATCGACAAACTGTCGAGCAAGAGCGTGGACCAGAAATCTGTGTAACACACGCTGCACCTGACGCACACGTGCGCACGCCCGCTGAAATCCCGTGGACTTTCAATCGCTTTTATAATTCATATGATAACGTCGCGTTTACATAAACTTTAATCGACCTCAATATATATATAGTAGCGAACTTGAGAGCGCGATCAGCCGCATACAAGCGAAACAGAAAAAGTGTTATCGAAGAACAGAACGATTAATAAGTTGACTCTAATTGATCGAACAAAGAATAAATCCGCTAATTTTAATCATCTTAAATTTTCGTCTTTTTACGCGACTAAATTCGTCCCCCGTCACAAATTTTATCTACGTCGAGGGATACACTCGCGATCCGACCTGCGACTTCCCTACAAATGCTAAAACATATGAATCTTTCGCAGC